ATTGAACACCAGCATGTTGAATATCATTACGAGCTAAAATATTCCAATAATTTACAGAATTTGAAATATAAGAAAAATTATTGCAAACCGCCATAGAAATATTGATCCACAGTTTTTAGCCAACCGACATCATCATGAGTATGTGGAACAATGTGAACATTAAGTTTATTAGATTGTCCTAAATTACATGCCTAAAAATGCAATAAGATGATTTATATTCTTCTTTTTTTAATTAAATAATATTTACATTGTAACCACAACTATCAGATGATTTGAATGGTGCTCCAGAATATCCAGAAATAACGATGGATAATACAATTGCACTATATAGTAATATGTGCATTTTGAATTTTTCAGTTTATAATGAATAAACCAAATGATAATAACAAGCGAAATGAAATAAAAGTCTCACTAAGATAAGATGTGGTATGCGTTTTTCATAGGAACGAAAAAAAAAGATAACAACATGTCCGTTGAAAATGTTGGTGGTAGTTGACGCGCTTTTTGTTAATTGAATGTTTTGGATAAGAATCTATACTCAGAGAACTTCTTGAGGATGTAAATGTGAGTACAAGATGAACTGTATACTCACATCGGCACCCACATCCATCCACCCCGTTTTTCAACGCTGTGGAAGTAAATAATGGGATCGTCAGATAGTTTTCTTCTGTTTAACTGCTTTACATATTGCCCTTGTTAATGTAATTGGTGAAATTAATTCTGAATTACAAGATAAGTTAAAATTATGTACAAATTCTTTTAGCCTAAATGAATGAAACGTCGTAATATCTCAACCAATTGTACATTTTATTTTAAATCAAAAAGTCAATTTAAACATTGAAAATAATCATGCAAGCTATTATTAAAATGATTTTGCAATTTTACAAAATTTAAATTTAGGTTCATGAATAAATATTGAATTAGAAATATTTCATGCATTTCCAACAGCCTACAAAACAAGAAGAATCAACGATAAAATTGAAGATAATATCATTAAAACATATAAAAGTAATACTAGATTTTATTGGAAATATTCAGTTCAATAGTTGTTTTTGCATCAATTATAATCTTTGAAATATTACAAAAATCTATTGAGTTGACTTCTTACATTATCGTGATGAAGAACAGTTTCGACAATCAATTGAAAATATCACTCGAAATGAAAGCTTGATGTCGCGTCTAACTACGGAACAAGAATTCGAATGATTATATCAAAAATACAATTAAATTTATTTGAAGAGTGTGGGTTTAACATAATACTATCCCCACCTCTATCCGCACACCCACACCCTCACACGTCGAATAATGATAAATAATACATTTTGTGTTCAATTTCGTCCAAAAATATCAACTGATACTTATTTTATACTTGTTCAAAATTCTTCAGGTTGTTCAGCCACTGTCAGTTTCTTTTATTTTATTTATTAAGGAATAATATTAATCAATTTTAGGTTGGTTATAATGACGGTTATTCAGGTGATCGTTATTTAAATTTAATGCATACACCTACATCTTCATGTATGCACATAGGAACTATTCAGCATGAACTTATGCATATCTTAGGTTATTTATCAAATAATTCTATAAATTAATTTTATCTTCTATCTTAAGGTTTTTTTCATGAACACTCGCAACCTGATCGAGATCAGTTTGTTACAATCGAATATTCTAATATTGCTTCAGCTATAGAGCTTCTTTTCTTATAAACAAACAATCTCTTTTTAAATAATAGATCAGAAATATAATTTTAATAAATATTCTGAAGAAAAAATTGATGCATTGGGAACAGAATATGATTATGATTCAATAATGCACTATAATGCATATGCGCTCAGTATTAATGGCCATCCAACAATAATACCAAAAAAATCAGGTGCTGTTATTGGACGAAGGACATTAAGTCTGACGGATATTCTTGAAATTCAACGATATTATGGGTGTGTAGCATACTCAACTGCAAATCAATTTTTTATGTCAAAAAGTGTAGTTTTACTATTTATTTTAATTCTAATATTTGTAAATATGTTGTAAAATGAAGAACAATCACAAAAATAAACAAATAAAAAAGTTTTCTATAAATATTAATATAGCAAAACGTAATACAAAAGTGGCCGGGTTTGAGGGAAGGATGTAGGTGAAGGTGTGAACGTGGATTTTTGTTATCTTTTTATTCATCCACCTCGTATTTACACCCACACCCTAAGATGGTGAATGAATGAAAGATATTATTCATAGATGATCACATACGTCATCTATGAACAATAACGACATTTTCATATCAACTTATTGTTCGTTATCAATCTGAGCCATTCAAAGACCTTATTATTATATGTTTCTATTAATACTTTTATGAAAATACTTTTTAAATGATATACTGTAGCAACTCTATAAATAAAATCTACTCAAATCAATCAATGACAAAAGAATTAATAAAGTTTGATAATAGTATACCTAAGTATGATCATGCATTTTTTATACTGTAAGTGCAAAGCTCATGTTTTATTGTGTTCTTCATATAATGACTCGTCATAGTTATATTCATCCATATAAAAAAAAGTGTCTAGTAATGGTTTATTCTCACCAAGGAAGATAAGAAAGAAAAAAAAGTGTGCAAGACATGATGACGATGCATATTCGTGAAGGCATATATATAGGAAGAAAAAATTTTCGTTTAGTATATTTTTATTAATTTTCAAACAACATTTAACATTTTTGTCAACGATGCCAAGTTATCCAAAACATCTTAAAACCGGTATATATATCAATTTCTCATAATTCGATACAATTAGTTTTAAATAGGTTCGGAATGTCCACCATTGAAAGAAAATCAATTACGATTATATAGTATGCAATTTTGTCCATACGCTCAACGTGCTAAACTTGTCTTAGCCGCTAAGAATATTCCGTAAGTTTCTTTTCTATTTGATTAGTTGTAATATCTATGAAATTATTCTAGATATGAAGAAATAAATGTT